CTGACTCTCTATCTCTCTCCCTTCCTCTGTGTAAAAAAATCAATAAAATATATTTTTTAAAAAACTAATAGCAGTACAGTAGTTTGATCAAGCTAATTAATCACTTACTGACATTTTACTTTTCTTCGTTCACCTTTTTCACGTATGCCATCATCTCATGTATTTTTTCTGTCCTTCTAGATTGTACAGAATGTCAGGACCACCAGCTAAGAAATGATGTCATTCAGCTGAAGAGGATGTTAGAGAATTTCAAAAATACTGCACAGAAAAGTTTGGTGTGATTAAGAAAGACAACAAAGCCTTATGTGTTTTCTGTTTTGAAACTATTGTTTGAAGAACATCTTCTGTAAAAAGGCATTTTGAAAGTGTTCTTAAGAACATAAGCAATAAAACCGAAGAGGATGCCGGAACCGGTTTGGCTCAGTGGATGGAGCGTCGGCCTGAGGACTGGAGGGTCCCGGGTTTGATTCCGTTCAAGGGCATGTGCCTGGGTTGCGGGCACATCCCCAGTGGGGGATGTGCAGGAGGCAGCTGGTCGATGTTTCTCTCTCATCGATGTTTCTGGCTCTCTGTCTCTCTGTCTCTCTCCCTTCCTCTCTGGAAAATCAGTGAAGTGCATTTTAAAAAAACAAAAAACCGAAGAGGAACAAAGAGAATTAATTTCTTGTGAACTCAGCAAAAAAAAAACAAAAAAAAACACAAGCTGATAATTTTATGAACTTCATCTCAGGCAGGTCCAGTTTCAACTTAGTTGCTGCTAGTTTTGAAGTTTCAAAAGTCATTGCCCAACATGGAAAACCACTCAGTGATGGAGAGTATATTAAAGAAGCTTGGCTAGAACGTGCACCTTTCCTTTTTGACGATTTCTCAGAAAAAGAAAAGATTATTCAGCACATTAAAGATTTGTCCGTGAGCAGGAAAACAGTTAAGGAGAGGATACTTAAGTTGGCGAGTAATACTGCTGAACAAGTAACAAAAGATTTGTCTTCATGTCAATTTTTTTCTATTTGTACAGACATTACATCGTCATCTAGGCTGGCCGTTTTTTCTAGACTTTCATGACGGGTGAGAAGGCAGGTTTTGTAAATCTGTTTGCGAAAGAAGTTGGTCATACACTGTTAGGTTTTCATTGCATCATACATGAGGAGGCTTTATGTGCAAGAGTGGGCCTGAAGGACTGCAGGAAGTGATGCAAACACTTACCAAATTTGTTGATTACATTTCTGCTCGGGCTTTGAATAAAAGACAATTTCAAGTTTTACGGAATGAGGTAGAATCTGTGTATAAAGGACTGAAAATGTACAACAGTGTTCGATGGCTTAGCCGAGGTTTGGTTCTGAAACAATTTGTTGAATGCTTAAACGAGATCACGCTCTTCTTGAATAACCAACGTGTGTCTTACCAAGAATTGTCTGACGCCACCTGGGTTTCTAAACTGATGTTCTTTGCAGATTTTTGTGAACATTTGAATGACTTAAATGTTAAATTACAAGGAACTGGCAAGACACTTGATGTTATGTCCGGTTACATAAAGGCTTTTGAAAAGAAACTGGAAGTCTTTAAGATGGATGTGGACGGTGAGAGATTTAGATATTCTTTATTTCAGTCAGTGTATGCTTAA